CCCCCCCATTTTGCGAGTGGTCGATCCGCCCACGTACGGATTTTACTATCCCTCCTGCATGGAATCTAGTTATCCATAATGTACCGTTATGGTACTTACGATATCGAAGAGATATATGTGCTGAGTTGTATGGCACTTCTAATACCAGTTCTTCTGTAAGTGCCACGCGGACTGGTGTTTTGTCGCCTGGTTTCCTTTCACACTTGATAACTTTTGGTTGTGTTACTTTTATGTCATACTTTATCCGTGGTCCGGTTCCTTTCGGTTGTACTTCAGGTTTCTCTCGGTTGTCCGTGGCGGTCGGCGTTGTAGTATCGGTGGTCACTGTGGTTTTTATGCCTTACTTGACTGCTCTCACTGACGGTCTTTGACGTCTATCGCGCGTGGGTGATGGCAATCTCATTAAAGCGCAGCGCTTCCTTTCTGTTGTTAACGCTGTAGGATGGTCTTGCGGCATGCTATGGCTGGTGCTGGTCTGTTACCATTACCCATGTCCTTGGGTAAACGTTTCCCTGGTGGAATGACTATTTCCCCTGCTGTTCTATCCTTCTGTGGTAGGATGCTGTCCCACAGGGCTTGAGTCTCGGCCTCGCTCCACGTAGCTAACAGCTCCACTATGGTTCTGTCCACGTCGTCCATACTGTTCGCTGCGCTGCTACTTAGTGATCCTCTCGTGATTCGGGTCCTTATTTATATTTCCGCTTAGCTTCCTTACGTCCCATGATCTTGACTTCCCCTTTTTTTTCCTTTGTTATGATCTGTTGTTTATACCTGGTTTATTTGTTCTTCCAATGGTAATGGTAATTCGGTTTTGTTTACTTTTCTCACTCTTTTAATTTTCCCGTATTGATGAAAATCTACCTGCCAGTATTCTCCGTCTATGTACTTGTGGTAGATTAGGGAAGATAATGACGCGTAGTGTGGAAGTTCGAAGCTGCAGCCTCTTGAAATATTAACCACCTGTTTTATGCTTCGAGGCGGCTCGGTGTATGCAGGTGTCTTTTCTTCTGAGTTTTTGTTGATTTGCTTGCAATTATTGCAAGCCTCGGTTTCTTGTGCCTCCGTTTGCACGCCTTCTGTAACTGTCTGAGTCAGTTTTTGCTCGTTTGAGAACGGTGATTCGTTTCCGGCTGGTGGCTCCCAGCTTTCCAGCCAATCCAATAGGTGGATACCAAAAGGTTTTGACATCTTGAGTTGCTACTGCTGATGTAGCTGCCGTACCGAATGTCACTCTACTCATCCTTTTGCTATGAGATCCTTCCTTTTATTCCTGGTTTTCGCTTACCCCTTGCTCATCGGCTGTTACGTCATCCAGATCATTCTCTGTTTTTAGATCCTGTATATGTACTTGTTTGTACCATTTTTTATTTTTGTTCTGTAAGTCTACTATTACCGGAGGTATTATTCTTCTTACCGTCATAGGACTCAAAAATTTTGGCGCAAGTTTCGCATTTATTGCTTTCTCCTTACTTGATAGGGCTTACTTGATTTTTTTCCAGACCACGTCGCCTATTTTTAGTTTCCACTGCCTTTTACACTGTAAAAAAAATGTGTAAAATTTCACATATAATGAGTGTAACGATTACATTATTAATAATGGAAATGTATAAATTCACGTTCTTTTACAAAAGTGAGTATTTTTACTCTGTGTTATGTGAATAATTCTTTATATTTGACGAAAAATTACAAGATTAAAAGTATAATTCATAGATTGTATGTAAATATACAATTTTTTTTGTAACAATACATAGTATACGATAATATTACATAGCATATAATTTCACACATCATAACTACATTTTTACGTAAATTTACGTAAGTTTACTTAAGTTTATATTGTAAAAATAAACAAAAATTATTTAATTTACAATTACTCGTTATTAAATATAGAGAACTCGTTTAGCATTAATTTCATGTTTGCACCATTAATTTTTAATTAACTCGTATAGTTAGATAATTTGACATTTGCGATAAGATATATTTTTGTATATATATTTATGCATTATTATATACATAATAATATGTATGTAATTTAATGTACGTATTGTTGCATTTAGCAGAAC